ATAATCATCACTATCATCAGAATCCTCAGCATCACCACCACCACCATCATCATCATCATCATCATCATCATCATCATCATCATCATCATCCTCATCATCGACATCATCATCATCATCATCATCATCATCATCAGCATCCCCACCATTATCATCATAATCACAGCCATCATCACCATCATCACCGTCATCGCCATCAGCACTATGATCATCATAACCATCAACAGCATCATCATCATCATCAGCGTCCTCATCCTCATCCTCATCATCGTCAACAGCATCATCATCATCGTCATCATCACCATCATCGGCATCATCATCATTATCACCACCATCATCATCATCACCACCATCATCATCGCCATCACCATCATCATCACCATCACCATCATAAGCATCATCATCTTCATCATCGTCGACGTCGTCATCATCATCACCACCACCATCATAATCATCATCACCATCATCATATGATCATCATATGATCATCATCCTCATCATCATCATCATCATCATCATCATCACCATCATCACCATCATCAGCATCATCATCATCGTCCTCCCCCCTCCGCCCGCTCGCCCGCCCGTCCACCCTCCCTCACTCCATCCATACATCCATCCATCCGGGACAGGCACGACACCGCGCGAGGACACGCCCCGCGCGAGGACAAGCCCCCGACACCGCGCCCAGCCTTCACGCGCCCCTGCGCCCCGCCCAGCCAGCGCGCGGCCGCCCGCTCGCGCCCGGCGGCCTGGGCAGCTCCAACAACGACGTCCTCCGCCTCCTCCTCCTCCTCCTCCTCCGCCTCCTCCTCCTCCTCCTCCTCTCCTCCTCCTCCCTCTCCTCTCTCTCTCCTCCTCCTCTACTCCTCTCCTCCTCCTCCCTCATCCCTCTCCTCCTCCTGCTCCTGCTCCTGCGCCTGCTCCTCCTCTTTCCTCCTCCTCCTCCTCCTCGCTTCCTCTCCTCCTCCCCTCCTCCTCATCCTCCTCCTGCTCCTACTCCTCCTCCTCCTCGCTCCTCCTCCTCCTCATCCTCATCCTACTCCTCCTCCTCCTCCGCCTCCTTCCTCCTCCTCCTTCCTCATCCTCACTTCCTCCTCCTCCTCCGCCTCCTCCCGCTCCTCCTCCTCCTCCTCCTCCTCCTCCCTCCTCGCTCCTCCTCGCTCCTCTCCCTTTCCTCACTCCACCTCCTTCCTCCACCTCCTCCTCCTCCTCCTCCTAACCCTCCTTCTCCTCCGCTCCTCCTCCTCCTCCTCCTCCTCCTCTTCTCCTCCTCCTCCTCCTCCTCCTCCTCCTCGCTCCTCCTCCTCCTCCTCCTCTCCTCCTCCCTCCCTCGCTCTCCTCGCTCCTTCCTCCTCTCCTCCTCCTACACCTCCTCCTCCTACTCTTTCCTCCTCCTCCTCTTCCGCCTCGCTCCTCTCGCTCTCTCCTTCTTACTCCTCCTCCTCCTCCGCTCTCCTCCTCCGCTTCCTCCTCCTCCTCTTCCTCCTCCTCCTCCTCCGCTTCCACCCTCTCCTCCTCCTCCTCCTCCTCCTGTTCCTCCTCCTCATTATTCTGCATTCCTTTTTCTTAAAGCAACTCCTCCCTGTCGCGCCCCGAGGCTGCTCGAAAGGGCGGGCCCGGCGTTTTGCCTGAGACTTTCTCTCCATTGATGATCCTAAAACTTGAAATTTGCAGCAGTCTTACTGATGGAGGGCGGGTGTTTTTTTAACAGGTGGTTCTCGTTTTAACGCCGCGCGCGCTCGGCTTCTAAATTGCAAGAGCTTCACGGATTGATGGCGGGCCATTTTCAACATGTGGCTCCCGCTTAGCGCAACGCACACTCGTCGCAAAACACTTGCACGAGCTTCACGGATGGATGAAGGTTCCTCTTCAAGATGTGGCCCTCGAATGAGCGCCGCGCAAATTCGTTATAATCATTTGCCAGGCTTCCCTTGGTTAGCGTACCAGATATGGTGTGTTGGAAAAGAGTCAGTGTTGTCAGGGCGCTACAGTAACGTTGATTCGCGGTGTTGACGTCCCAGCAATGCTGTTCTGGCACGATTCCAGATCGTCGCGACGCAACAGTCAAGTTGGTTCGTGGCGTTGAAGTCCCGAGAATGGTGTTCTCACGAGCTTCAGGATCTTCAAACGGTTGTCTCCCAACTAGGCACTTCCTTCAGTGAGCATGAGTTATTGCATAGGCCTATGCAGGGAGCGCTTGGAGGGAGGGCGTCTTCCAACATCGTTGACGACTCTTGGGTTTACGTTGGTCTCTTCCTCCTCCTCATCCTCGTCCTCCTCCGCCTCGCTACTCCTCCTCTTCCTCCTTGTCCTCCTCCTCGCTCCTCCTCCTCCTCCTCCTCCTCCTCCTCCTCCTCCTCCTCCTCCTCCTCCTCCTCCTCATCATCATCATCATCATCATCATCATCATCATCATATCATCATCATCATCATCACATCATAATCATCATCATCATCATCATCATCATCATCATCCCCCTCCTCCTTCTCCTCCTCCTGGTCCTCCTCCTCCTCCTCCTCCTTTTCTCCTCCTCCTCCTCCTCCTCCTCAGGGGACACGCCCTTTTGCCGAGCGTCGCAACCTGTTTCTCCTTTTCATGGCGGCAGCCGCCGGGGAGATCTCTGCGTTGCCTGGACAGGGCAGATGGATGCCAGGTGGATATCGCCTCAACGCCGCGCAAATATGTCTTTCAAGTTCCCCACGTCTGTCGTAAAAGTTACCCTTTCCACAATGAATACCTCGCGGTGGCGCCACGCACACTCGTTGCAATATCCGCCGATCCAGCGCGTGAGTTTCAAAGACCCTCAGAACAGTCTGATCCTCAATTCCTGAGCTTCAGCTCTACTGGAGGGCGGGTGCCGGGGAGGCTCTGCCGGGGTAGGAGGGCGGGGCGGGGATTTGATTTAATTCCCGGGGCGGAATTGGAGCTCCAGCTCACTCCGGGACGGCCCCCTCGCCCAGGAGGGCCCCAACATGGGCCAAGAGGGCCCCGAGTCGCCGAACAATCGCTACAAGACGCCCAAGATGTCCCCAAGACGGCTCCAGAAGCCTCCAAGATGCCCTCAGAAGCCCTGAAAAGGCTTCCCAAAGAAGGCCCAAAGAAGGAATAAGTGGTCCCATTCCCAAAAGGAAAACGTACACTTGTTGCATATTCGCCTTTTGGGCCTTCAGAGCGTCGCAGACGGCCCAGGAGAGCCCCAAAACGGCCCAAAGAGGCGCTAAGAAGGCTCCAGGACGGCCCAAGAAGGGCCCAAGATGGCCCAGGAGGCCCCCGGACAGGCCCACGAAGGCCCCAGGACGGGCCCAAGAGGCGCCTGAGAGGGCGCCAAGACGGCGGAAGGAACACCAGTGACGGCCCAAGAATCCCCCACCAGGCCCCCAAAGGCCCCCAAGAGGCCTGCAGAGGCCCCAAGACGCTTCCAACCGGCCCCGAAGAGGCCCCCTGAAGCCCCCCGAAGGCCCCCAGAAGTCTCAAAAATACATCCAAAACGCCTTCTAGAGGCCTCCAAGCTGCCTCCAAGACTCCCCCCCGAGACGCCCCAAATGCTTCCACAACGCTTACGTCTGAACACAAGCGCTACGCTTTCACATCTTCTCCCGCCTTCGGTGTCCTTCACATCCATGACCTCAGGAGGCCCGCAGAAGACCACGCGAAAGCCCCAGGAACCCCTCAAACACCATGGTTCCCAGCAGAGACCAGTGATGCATAAGGCTCCACAAAGAATTGTGGCGCAGACAGCTCTAGCACAAAGCTTTTCAGAGAGCGCGCCAAATCGGCGAGGTGTCAACCCAAAGAGTGCCAAAACCTGGCCCCAAAGAGGCTTTCCAACAACCGCCGAACATCTCCATCAACCGCCGCGAAAATGTCCTCGTTCTCGTCATGCCCCTCCTTCTCCCACTCCCCACATTCCACTTCCCGTTTCCTCATGTTCCTCCTCATCCTCGGCATCCTGCTACTCCTGCCCGCCCCTCCCCCCTCCACCCCCCTCCACCTCATCGTGATCCCCCTCCTCCTCCTCATCCCACTCCGTTGCCTCCATTCCCAATCCTCATCATCCTCCTCGCCGCTCGCCGTCGTCGCCAACCGTGGCCGCCACCGTGCGCTTCCGGCAGCAACGGAAGCGTCCCGGATCGGCGGCACTGGCAGGAGGCCACTACAATATTCAGACAACATCGCGGATGGAGGCAGATGTGCTGCTATAACTTGACCCTCGCCAGAGCACCGCGCACACTCGTCTTACAAGTTTCCCACATGCAGCGCGGATGGAAATTGTTTATTGTCCAAAGTTCAGCTATCGTTTGAACCTTGCCCAGAATCTGCTGCTGGGAATTGGCAATTGCGGAACGGCTATGCGGATGGAGGGCGGTTCATTCTCAAGCTCGGGGGTCTGCTCAGTACCTCTTCAGTGCTGTTCGAAACGGTGCTCTCGCTGTACACCGCCATGAGTTGCACGAACTCCACATGTTCGGACATCTAACGCACAAGCTACTCGAGGGCGGATCCTTACCGACAGACGGGCCGTGTGATCCCACTTTTTCGGGCTGTGGCTGGTTCTCTCTGCGTGGTTCGGGGACCCCCTGTGGGGATGCCGCGCCGACTACCTCTGCCTGTCTGTCTGTCTGCCTCTGTCTGCCTCTGTCTGCGTCTCTGTCTTCCCATCTCGCGGCCAGAGCACGCATCTTCGCACTCCTAACCCACAAGAGGCTCGAGGGCCGATCCTTGCCGGCAGACGGGCCGCGCGATCCCACGTCTTCGGACTTCTAACCCCCAAGAGGCTCGAGGGCGGATCCTTCTCAAAGCGGAGACCTCTCCAGAGCTGCACGCCCACAGGAGGGCGGCCGCACTATTCAGGGGGGGGCCGCGCCCATCGGCCCGAAGAGTGGTGCCCGTGGAGAGGGGGGCGCGACGGTGGACTGAGAGCCCCTTCCTCCAGGAGAAAGCGGAGGAGGAGGAGACGAGCGTAGAGAGAGGAGACGAGCGTAGAGAAGGAGGAGGAGGAGGAGGAGGAGGAGGAGGAGGAGGAGGGGGGAAGGGGAGGAGGAGGAGGAGGCGGAGGAGGAGGAGGAGAAGGAGAAGGAGAAGGAGGGAGGGAGTACCCGACGCCTGCAAGACTAATTCTGTGTGTCCGCGGGGGCTTCCAAACTTTTCCGCACCTGCTTCGCACCTACTCCACCTCCCGCTGGTCGCACACGCGCGTCGTATCAAGGTACATTGCTTCTCGCCGTTCGACGTCTCAGACGCTGCGAGCCCCGTCGCTCAGAGTTCGGCCATCGCACAGAAATCAGGACATGGAGGAGGAGGAGGAGGAGGAGGAGGAGGAGGAGGAGGAGGAGAAGAAGAAGAAGAGGAGGAAAGAAGGAGGAGGAGGAGGAGGAGGAGGACCACCCAGCTGCACGCTGAGGCCCCCTTCAGCCGAGGAGGAGGAGGAGGAGGATGGATGAGGAGGAGGAGGAGGAGGAGGAGGAGGAGGAGGACGGCTTCGCGCCAGCCCCGCGGCCAGCACGTCCCCGGGCTCCAGGCCCTGGAGGCGCAGGGCAGTCAGCGCGCCAGGCTCTTCGACCCACGCGCGCAGCGCCTGGTGCGTGGGCGCCGCGGGGCGCGCATGGGCAGGGCGCGCGCGCGTCTCACCTAGCAACTCTTCCCCTCCCACTCTTCCTCCTCCTCCTCCTCCTCATAATCATCATTCATCAATCATCTTCATCATCTTCCTCCTCCCCTGCCTCATCCTCCTGCTCTTGCTCTTGCTCCTCCTCCTCCTCCCCACCTGCTCCTCCTCTCTCCTGCTGCTTGCTCCTGCTTCTCTGCTCCTCCTCCTCCTCCTCCTACCACCTCCTCCTCTCCTGCTCCTGCTTCTGCTCCTCCTGCTCCTCCTCCTCCTCCTCCTCCTCCTCCTCCTCCTCCTCCTCCTCCTCCTCCGTCTCGTCTCCCTCGTCCCCCACTTCCTCTTCCCCCACGTCCTCCGCCACCTCGTCCCCCACGTAGTCCTGTAAGATGAAGCCAGGACCAGGACAACATCGGACCAGGGCAGATAGGGGATCTCACATCCAGCAGTTCTGGAAGATGTATCGGGCGGCGGGGCCGCTCTCGAGCGCTCTCGGAGCGCTCGGAGATCGGTTCGCAACGTTCTGGAAGTTGTTCCCCCTGGTCCTGGCCCCGCCCGATCCTTCCCTGCACCTCGTCTCCCTCTTCTCCAACGTATTGCTCCACCTCCTGCACCTCCTCCTTCTCTTCCTCATCTGTCTCCTCGTCCGTCTCGTCGCGTTCTCCTGCTGCTCCTTCCAGGTCCCCAGATGAACGTGATATTACTCATGCTCGCCTTCCCCTCTCTGCTTCCTGGCTATTCTCAGTCTCCTCTTCACCCTCCTCCTCATCAGGTTCAAGGTTCCGGAGTAACTACTGAGTGCGCTGATATCATCCCACCCGCCAATGCCCCTCAGCATAACTCGTACTCGATTCGCGTTTCTCTAACCGTGCCGCAATCAATCCTGATAATCAGGATGAGAAGCTGGTCCCACATAGCCTTCGGTGGGCGAGAAGGACATACACATAGTTTGTTTCATGTTTTTTGTTATAAAAAAGCTATGTTTCATGTATTGTTATCTTGTATTTTTAGAAGGACATACCAAGAATAAGATGGTGAGAGTCCCAAAGAGATTGTGGCTCCGTCGCCCTCGTGGAACCTGAAGAGCCTGGAGCCCATCCGAGAAGTCCGAGCGCAACAGCAGCCTTGAAGCGGCGACTCTGGCTGAGCTGCAGCAGACACACCTGGGGAAACTTGTCCTCCTCCTCCTCCTCCTCCTCCTCCTCCTCCTCCTCCTCCCTCCTCCTCCTCCTCCTCCTCCTCCTCCTCTTCCTCCTCCTCCTCCTCCCTCCTCCTCCCTCCTCCTCCTCTCCTCCTCCTCCTCCTCCTCCTCCCTCCTCCTCCTCCTCCTCCTCCTCCTCCGCCTCCGCCTCCGCCTCCGCCTCGCCTCCGCTCCTCCTCTCCTCCCTCCTCCTCCTCCTCCTCCTCCTCCTCCTCCCCCCCCCCTCCTCCTCCTCCTCCTCCTCCTCCTCCTCCTCCTCCTCCTCCTCCTCCTCCTCCTGCGCAAGACATTGCGCGCCAGAGATCCTCCGACGAGCAACTCGCATTGGAAAAGAAGAACGAGTTAGCTGAGCTCGAGAGGCAACACCTCACGAACACGCAGAACCTCGCCCCTGCCAACATGCTTATATTCACCTTTGTGCAATCGGTTCCACAGCTTAGTGGCCCAGGCCGCACGACGAGAAAGACACGGCTTCGACAGGGACGTGATTCGATCAGAGCAGAGAGCTCCGCACGAAGAACAGCCGACGAGCGTGACATCACCTGAAAGCACAAAACAAACGAGTTTGTGGGGCCTCAAACCAGCATCTCGAAAGCCCTTCGAAAGCGACACAGCGCGGTCGGGCAGAGAGGCTGGCGGGTCCTGCACTAGAACAAGGCGAGGTTGGGGAGGGCGTCCTCTCTTGACCTGCGACGGGTGGAACGTGTCGTCGCCCTCCCCAACCTTGGAGATCCACCTGCACCAAGCCTTTAGAATCTTGGCACGGTTGGCTATGGCCTCACGTTGAGCCTCAGGGATCCTAGACGCCTGAGCTGCCCATTTCGCAAAGCGACCAGCTAGAACATTACCAGCATTCTGGCGCTTAGAGGTGCGACCGAAACGGAAGTCCTGGAGGCAAGGGTGCGCTTTTATCTTCACAACGCGCCCAACTAACTCCTCGCCCCTGTCCTCCAGAAGTCGCCAAACCTCACGCCAAAGTACAGCATGGGAGGACATTGGATGACAGCAATCATCCTTGCCTCTCTTATACAATCCTTTCCAAACATAATCACTGTCAGTGTGAAACACGCTTCCAGGCATAGAATGGCGAAGAGCATAGCACATAGCAGTGAGTTCAGCTTCATTGATGGTGGGCAGGTGCTCAATCAAAGGCCCACATACGATGCAACACGGCATGCGAGCACACGGGTAGAGAGCAACAACAGCCCATCCTGCGGCAGAAAACTGAGGCCAGTCTCCTTCAAAGACCGATCCGTCAAGAAATATGTCACCTGCAAGTTCCATGGGGGACCCCAGGAACCAGAAATCGCGAGGCACTCCTGTCAGGTCGGGAGGGGACACCTCAGGCAGGGGCACGAGACAACGCTCAACCAAGGCCAGAGCAAGAGGAGAGCTCACGGCGGCGGCGCTAAGCCCCTGGACAAACGTAGGAGGTTCCTCTTCCACCTGCAGGGTGCACTCACACTGAGTGCGCCTGTGAAGTAGAGTGCCACTGACCTCTTCCTCACGCACATCTTTACAGACACGACAGTAAGGTTCAACATCATACCCAGCACTCCATTGCCTATGCATGGGCCATTGGCCCCCCCACAAAACACGAGCGCAGATAGGCCCTCTGCTCGGGGGAGGCTTTCGATTTTAAAAACTTGGCAATGGGCTGGACAAAGAATCCCTTGGACAACTCAGGGAGGTTTAAATGTTCGGCAACTTGCTTACACTGCCAGAGATAACAGGCATGCATAACCATTCTCTTAACAACAGACACACATACTTGAGATGGGTCAATGACAGCGTTCCCTGGAAAATTCCACTCAGTCATGGAACAGACCTGGACACCGACTCGCTTAAGAGTAGCAACTGCAGCCGAGAAGGGGTCCCGAATGGCAGACCAGGGAGATGCAATGCCTTGGAAGTGGCTCACAGCAGCAAGGATGCCTGCCTCGATGGATCGTTTCGGGAGCCACTCTTCCCAAAAAGCTTGCAACAAAAACTTAACTGGGAGCCATGTGGCCCTGAAAATCGGGTCCAAGCATCGCGACGGGGCAATCATGAGAGCAGGAGTCCTGGAGCGCCCATCAGGATGATGATCTTGAAGCTTCCCAGCGAGAGAGCGTAACTGATTGAGCTCACCATTGTTGAGACCAAGAACAGCCGTGCCAAAAGTAACTGCACCTTCCAAGGCCGCTCTGGACATGGTGCCAAGCGTCTTGCGCCTGGGACGCCCAGCCTTCAGCGTAGACATGCGAGGCCTTCTCACAGAAACTGTAGCCAGGCGCTGCTTGACCACCGGTTTGCCACGAACTCGGCCAGCAGCAAAATCCACTCCAAGGTTGCGCTCAGTATTGGTATCAGTAACGCCCAATGACTTCAGCTTGCTCACAAGGGCTCTGCGCACGACGATGGTGTTAGACAAAGCCCGACTCTTTTCAACAGCAACTTTCATGTGAATCTTAGTTAGCAACTTCAACAACAACTTGGAAGCCCCAGCGAGATCACGAACGACACGAGACGGTGAACCATGCCTCTGCAGCCCAAAGTCATCAGTATTAATGCTGAGCATGACACACCTGAAGGAATTCTGCACCTGACGCAGCGGTCCCAGGAGCAGAAGCTGCAGCATGACCGTGGCGAAGTGACAGCCTGGCACGATGGTCTGCTCAACGTGGATGAGATCACTGACCACGCCCTGCATGTCCAGCGTGCGAGGCATACGATACATAGAAATCAAGAGCTTCAGCATCCATAGCGGAAGCTCGCTCTCGATGGCGGCCTGAATCAAGTGATGATGCTTGACGAACTCAAAAGCTTTCTTGAGATCGAGCAAAATGGTTGCAGTAGACATACCTCTTACAGTTGAATACTCAGACCAGGCACTAGAAATCCATACACACTTCTCCGAGGAACGCCCTTTAACAGACCACCAGAAACTCTGGAAATTCTTCTTCTGCCAGACGTGGACAAGAGGCCTTCGGAGCCTGCATTGGATCCTACAGAGAACATGAAGGAGCCCAAGAGGCCGAACCCCGCCAAGACGCTTCAAGATGAAGACCACCCGAATCCAGGATCTAGGCCACTCTAGGTTGCTTTCAATAGACCCAATAATATCACATAGTATCTGAAGCGCTTCATCAGGTAACAATAGAAAATGCCTAGGAGGAACCTGATCGAACCCAGTCCCCGTGGAGGCCTTGAAAGTCTTTAACACCACCTTCAGCTGATCCACAGTAGGAGGAGGAGGAGGTTCTCCGAGCGACGAAGGCCAGACGAGTTCAGGATGAGCAGCGGAAACTTGCCACCATCCTTCCCATTCGCGTTGCAACGCCTGCATCTCCTCCCGAGAGGTGGCAGGCCTATGAGTACTATGCTCCATGCAAGAGGGCTGCCAAGCCGTAGGTAACGAAGAGTACGAGTACAACGCAGACGCCCCATTTTCAGAATGCTTGTCAATCCAATGCTTCCAGTCTGTCTCTTTTTGCTTGGCAGCCCTCTTGACTTCAGCATCGGCAGCAGCACGAGCCCAATGGAGAAGTACTTTCACCACTGGCGCAGGAAAAAGCCGTGCTTGCACAAGGCACCCTGACCAAGCCCAATACAGCTCAGCATCAGGCATAAAATGAGAACGAAAAAGCGACTCCAGACGATTGACCGACTCGCTCCATACCTTAAACGAACGCGGCTCCAGGAGGTCCTCAAGAGCTGCTGAAACCTTCTTCCACCAGACTCCAACTTGAGAGACTCGGGGAAACCTTGGAGGCCCAGGGCGCCTGAGGGTTTTGCTGGTAACTTTGAGGTCCACTGAGCGCCCAAGATACTTGTGAGAGTCCTCTGGAGCCACCTGAAAGATAGTAAGCCACTCATCCTCACACGCTCTGATGAAAAGCTTCCAACTGGCGTCAACGGAGTCACACTCGTCGACCTGCATACTAAGAAGATTCCACCGATCTGTGTCAGGAGGAAGCGCACAACCTAGAGGCACAGCAGCAGGAAACCGCCGAGGAACCTGTACCACTTGGACGGTAGCATCTGCTGGCAGCGCCTTGAATCGCAATTCAACTGGATAATGCGGCGCAGTGGCAATATCAGCACGAACAGACACAACGCATTCTCGAGCGAGCGAGAAACTAACCACAAAATAGTCTATGGTGCTATTCGCTGGACGGCACGTACCACGATCAGGGTAAAAAAACTCGAGCATCGACAGCTGCAGGCCAGCCACTCGATTGCAACTGAGCTGGCTCGATCTGCCAATCTGCGGCGACGACGAAGGGGAGTCCCACCTGCTTCAGAAAACTTCCGACCTTGGACAGAATGCTCCAATTGAACGCCCCCAGACCAGAAGAATGCTGCAAGTAAATATTGACAAAAACGAAACCTCCTCGAACACATCCTCCAACATGGTGTGCCGTGGCCCTGCCAGGCCATAGAACCGTGTCGAAGCCCTGCACGCCCGAGAGGCCTATGTGCTTGGGAACCAGAGTAGCGAGCCCACCAGCGAGGCCCCCAGTGCTTTTTAGGGCCCCAGGAGACAGACTGGCCGAGTACCCCGACTTCCGAAGTTGACCTTCATGCGAATCACACTGAGAGCGAGTTAGGTGTGTCTCCTGCACTCCGATGCAATCGAAGCGGTCCTTACACTCCTGCACCCGCTCGAAGCTAGACCAAGTAGTAATATTAGCAGTCAGAAAAATCCACTCCTTTTTCATCTTCACATTGGGAGTGTTAAATACCTGACCTCTTCTTGTTGTCCCTAGTTGCCCAACTGAACTGCTCAGTCCTGGAACGCTTGATAGAATCGGCCACAGAAACAACAAGCCCACGACACTGCTCAATAGAAAGGCCCAGGTGCTGATTCTGGTCCAAGAAGTGCTGCAAGTTCTCGTCAGAGGAGTGTTGCTTGACCAGAAGCTCGGCTGCCTGGTGCGTGACCTCATCTGCATCGGCAAAGTAGTCGGACTGGCCCTCGTCATCCATGTCGGAGTCGGAGTGGACAGACTGGACAGCCACACCCATAGCAGGAGCCATGGACGGCAACCGTACACCTGCATCAGGAGGACCGCCAGGCAGCCCAGGAGAAGCAGGAGCTCCCGTAGGAGTTGCAGTGCCACAAGCACCTGCTGCAGCGACAGGAGGCTTATCTTGATGCCGTGCTCGATCACGTGCGTTGACCAGGTCACGGAACTTCTCGCTGAAGGACGGGTCGAGCCCCGAGAAGCTGCGGAGGATGGCCTCCTCGGAGCTCTTGATGTCCACGCCATGTTCACCAGCCAGACAGGTCCAAGCCTGCGCCGAACGCTGAGCACAGTGCTTCTCGTCCAGCTCGTACTGCTTGACCTCGGCACGGAGCTGGAGCACACGCTGGAAGTGATGGGCCAGGTTCTTCTCGGCCTTCTCCAGCTTCGCCTGTGCTGCACTGAGCTTGCCACGCACGTCGTTATGCTGCTGCTGCGCATGGCGAGATACTGCACTAGGATCACCACTGCGCAACGCGCGAAGCTTGAGCAGCTCACGCTTCTGGGACGGCGACATGAAGACGGCTGCGGCATCGAACTGTTCATCATCCATTTCCACAATTTTCTGCATCTGATCAGAAGAACACTGGGGCGTAGCAGGCGCACTCCAGTTCCAGTTGCCTGGGGGTGCTTTGTACCACGTACCTTCCCATTTCTTCCAGACACCACCGTTGCCATTGTGATTGCCACCCCCAGTAGCAGACGAAGAATGCTGACCAGGAGTGCCGTTTGTGAGACCATGCCCACAGTGCTTACAAAATGTGTACCAGCTCGGATTTTTCTTGCAGCCGCAAGAAACGCAAGCAGGCATGAGTGAAAGGTGTCCGCAAAGCTTTGACGCAATGATAGCTCTGAGAGGAGAGCTGCCCACTCAAGTACAGTACACGGCCGTGTCCTATAACTTGAGCCAAAATGGCAACGGACTCCTCCTCCTCCTCCTCCTCCTCCTCCTCCCTCCTCCTCCTCCTCCCTCCCTCCTCCTCCTCCTCCTCCTTCCTCCTCCTCCTCCTCCTCCTCCTCCTCCTCCTGCTCCTCCTCCTCCTCCTCCTCCTCCTCTCCCCTCCTTCCTCCTCTCCTCCTCCTCCTCCTCCTCTACATCATCATCATCATCATCATCATCATCATCATCATCATCATCATCATCATCATCATCATCATCATCATCATCATCATCATCATCATCATCATCATCATCATCATCATCATCATCATCATCATCATCATCATCATCATCATCATCATCATCATCATCATCATCATCATCATCATCATCATCATCATCATCATCATCCTCCCCCTTTCCTCCTCCTCCTCCTACTCCTCCTCTACAGCAGGAGGTAAAGTAAGAGATACTCCCAGAAGCACTCAGAGACGAGTGCCGGGTCGCTCTCGGGCTCCGAGGTCGAGGGGCGTCTCGGCTAGCGTCGTCGATGCTGGCAGCACGTTGTGGCAAGAGGCGTAGTAAGAAGTCAGGGGCAGGGATACCACAATGAAGCACTCGAACCCGATCATGGGGAAACTAAACGGTGCCCATATCGCTACTCCCCTGACCCCTTCTGGGATTCGTTATGACCAGAACTTCGAGGAGAATCCAGCCGTGGTGACGACGGCCTCCCAGGAGGCCCAAAAAGGCGGAAACGAGGGAAGGGCAGCGGTATCGGTATATTCCCCTCCCTTGAGATCGAGCCCACTCGCCATATCAGCCGAGACCGACCAAGTCGTTCAGAGGACTGCACAATCGAAGCCGACGAAGGCCGCTGCCCGGACAGGTGGCCTCGGCCCCAGCGTCGAGCAGCTGCTCCGCCTCGAGCACCCACTGCCGGGGAAGCTGGTCCAGCGGCTTGGTGGCGATCGCGGAGCTCGAGGGCGCTTTCTGGCACGGGTGAGTGTGCAGGAGATCGGCACATCCTGAATGTCTACACGATCTACGGGCTCTCCGGCCGTCGCGGCGTTCCTTCTCCTGGCCCCTGTGCCTGAATTCGCGTCGGATGCATCCCGCCGTTTGCTTGACCGCTTATTGGACCCAACTCGCCATAGACCAAAAAAGAGTGCGCAGGAGATGGGCTCATCGTCGTGGCTCCAGACATGGGTACTGTAGGCGTGCGTTCTGCTTACATCGCCTATGCGGAGAGAAGGGGCGGACAACGGATGCAGACGGGAGAGATACAATAAGCACCCGACGGTCGCTATTTACACGTGCGGGCTCTTAGCGAAGGGTGTCGCGCTGCCACGGCAGAGACAGCGGAGCAGAGACTGACAGAGATGAGGGGTAAGAGAAAGAGAAAGGGAGAGAGAGAGAGAGAGAGAGAAAAAAAAAAAAGGAGAGAGAGAGAGAGAGAGAGTGAGAGAGAAGAAGAGAGAGAGAGAGAGAGAAAGAGTGAGGTAGAGAGAGAGGGAGGGAGAGAGAGAGAGAGAGACATGGCGGTACCACAAAGCATAAGAAAACAATGAGAGAATGAGAGAGAGAGAGATGGAGATACAAGTCGGAGCGGCAGAGCAGCAGGGAAGGAGCACGACGGAGAGGGCACAGACCATGGGAGGGAGAGGCGCGGGCTGAGCCAGTGCGAGCGAAGCCAAGACGACCTTGGTCAGTTCAAGCCGAGCTGAGCTCGAGGAAGACGAACAAATCCAATGCGGGCTGAGACAGATACGGTGGAGCATTGGATAAGGAACCATTGGATGGGGAATCCATGATCTGGAAACAAGTGGACCTCCAATCGTGGATTGGTCACGAATATCACCGCTACCCTCATCAGATGAGGAATCCTCCAGGGTCTGAAGCCTCCTGGGCACACTCCTTAACGAACGTCCCAACCGTACTCATGCGAGGGATGCGTTCGCTACCACCTGACTCAAGGGCACCATCAACGGATGGTTCGCGGCTCACGGAAAATAATGTGTGTGACTGAGCACGGCGCCTGGCACCAGCCAACATACTTTCCACAACCAGAGCTGCAAAAGAAACTCGACTGAGACACCCTCACTCAAACCGGAAAGCCACAGAACCAGTCCTGTGGCGTGGCATCTCCCAACTAGGAGCAGGATAAGGAGGATGTTTCTCATGGCCGTCGACAGGGCCTCCCTTGCACAAGAGATCTGCTGCGCGACCTCCGGGAAGACCCTGAGACGAGACACTCGGCTGGCTGACGGAGCTGTATCGCTGCTCCTCCACATCCTCTCCTCCTCCTCATCCTCCTGCTGCTGCTCCTCCTCCTGCTCCTCCTCCTCCTCCTCCACCTCGTCCTCCTTCTCCTCCTCCTCCTCCTCCTCCTCCTCCTCCTCCTCTAGCTGCTCCTACTCCGAGCCTCGTCCGTTGCCAGTGTAGACTCCCACTCTGCCACCTCTGGGGGGCACGAGACGTGCCAATGGTGTGCCGAGAAGGGCGCGGGGCGGCAGGCGCGCAACCCACCGGGGCCGCAGCGGAGCTCCGTGCGAAGGCACGAGCCATATGCAGTGGGCATTGCCGAACCTCGCGGAGGGCGGCATGCGCGCGCCCGCTGGAGCCGCAGGAGGGACTCCCTGTGGAGGCACTAAAAACGTCAGGAGCGTCCCGACATGAGCGCGGGGCGGCATGCGGGAACTCCGCACTGCAGCCGCAGATGGAACTCTTTACGCGTGCGGGCACGAAGCGTGTGAGGGAGTGCCCAAATGAGCTATGGGCGGCAGGTAGGATCCCCCCCACTGGAGCCACAGGTGGAGCTCTAAGGGGGCACGACGTTTACGTTTTCGAGAGGTGCGCCAAAAAATGCGCGGACCGGGATGCGGGACCTCCACACTGGAGCCGTAGGAGCAGCTCCTCTGGGGGGGGGCACCTTGCGAGCGGAATGCTGTAAGGGCCGTGCGGGCCGAAAGAAGGAGAAGGGAGATGAGAAGGAGGGAGAAGGAAGGTGGGAGGAGGTGACGCGAGGGGCTGCGGATGAAACGAGGACTCAGCGACACAAGAGGATCTCGGTGAATCGCAAAACAAACCGAGCATTCTGTCCCAAGCGTTCCGCTGCGCAGCTTCGATTCTGATATCTGAGAGAGCGCGCTTCACGGGCGCTTGCCTTGGGAACATTCGGCGGCGCGTTTCGAACCCGGGGGTGGCCCCCCCCCCCCCAACACTCGGCGCCGTCGATCAAAACAAGGGAGACTCCCCTCCCACCCAACCCCCCCCCTCCCGACCCCCCCCTCCCCCCTCCTCCCAGGGGGGGGGTGTTCAACCCCCCCCCCTTCGGCGCCAGCGCCGGCGCCGGCGCTGGCGGCCGCCAGCAGCGCCGACACCTGGGACGCAGCGACGATGACCAGAGCCAGCCCAAGGGGGGGTTCAAACCTCTCCTTCCCCCCCCCTGGCGCCAGCGCCAGCGCCAGCGCTGGCGGCGGCCAGCAGCGCCGGCGCTGGCGCCGGCGACGGCGGGGACGCAGCGACGATTACCACCACTACCACCACCACCACTACCACCACCACCACCACCGCCGCCTCAACCCACCACCACCACCACCACCAGCCCATCACACAACCACCACCACCACCACAGCCACCACCACCACCACTACCACCACCACCACAACTCACCATCACCATCACCACCACCACAATCTACCACACCACCACCACCACCGCCACAAACCACCACCATTACCAGCAGCACAACCCACCACCACCACACAACAAACCACCACACCACCACCACAACAACCGCCACCACCACCCACCACCACCACACCACCACCACCACCACCACACACCCACCACCACCACCACCACACCACCACCACCACACCACCACCAACAACCACCACCACCACAACAAACCACCACACCACCACCACCACAACCACCACCACCGTCACCACCATCACAACCCACCACCACCACCACCAACACCACCGTCGTCCTCGTCGACGCTCCCCGCCGCCGCCGCCCGCCGCCGCAGGCGCTGGCGCCGGCCCAGAAAAAGAAATCGTCGCCCCCGCCGCCACCGCCAGCTGCCGTCGACGCAGGCGCCGGCCCGAGGAGAGGGAGAGATGAAAAGTAGGGGAGGAAGGGGGGGGGGAGGTGGGCCCCCCCTCCGTCACAGTAAGGGAGGAAGGGGGGCTCGTCCCCACCCCCCTTCCATCCAGGGGGGGGGTCCGGTTCCAAGCCCCCCCCCCTCCAAACGACCACAGAACGCGCTCTTTCGGATATCTGGGAAAGGCTCTCTCTCAGAGGGAAGTGTCGCCAAGACTCTTCGCGAGCTCGTAGCTTTCTTGGCCCATGATAGCTGTGAATGCCACATGGGGGAAGGAGCTCGAATCACTTGAGACGAGGTCGAGGTAGAATTCGCCTGTGCGAGCCGGCTACAGTTCTCAGAATTGCAGCAAAAAGCGGCAGATTCCACTGAAAAGCTCGCAGAACTCAACGTCGCGGTGAGATCTGGCCGACCCGTTACTTCACGACAGGGGGTTCTCACGCGAGAGGGTACGATTGCAGGAATTGATTTCATTCGGGCAGACCCAGACGTCCAAGAAAGGTGTGAGTCGATACAGCTGAGAATGCCGAGCCATCGTACCATGGGATGACACAACGTGACCCCAGGCAAAAACAAGCTGCCCATCAGCTTCGCGACAGAAACGGGTCAGTCTACACACACAAGCACGGACGCACACATCAATCATCAGCCTTTCTGTTCGGCGTCATCATCACCATCACGATCCCGACCATCATCATCACCATCATCATTATCATCATCATCATCATCATCATCATCATCATCATCATCATCAGTATCATCAACATCATCATCAGCATAATCAGCATCGTCAAGATCATCATCATCAGCAGCATCATCATCAGCAGTAGCAGCATCATAGTGATCATCACGATCATCACATCATCATCATCATCATCGTCATCATCATCATCGTCATCATCATCATCACTGCCAGCATCAGAATCATCACCATCATCAGCATCGTCGTCATCATTATCACGATCATCATCATCATCATTGTCATCGTAACCATTGTCATCAACATCGTCCCCAGCATCATGTTCATCATTATCATCACCATCATCATCACCCTCATCCGCATCCCCATTCTCATCCTCATAATTCTTATCCTCATCATTATCACTATTATAGTCATCAACATCATCATCACCGTCATCGTATTCAAAATCAACGCGATCATCAGTACCATCATCAGCATCAGCATCAGCAGCATCATCATCACCACCAGCATCATCATCATCATCATCATCATCAACACCATCATAGGAATCGTCAACATCATCATCATCACCAGCATCATCAGCATAATCATCATCAGCGGCAGCATCATCATCATCAGCAGCAGCATCATCATTATCATCATCGTCATCATTGTAATCGTCATCGTCATCATCATCCTAATCAGCATCAGCATCACCATCCTCTTCAAAACCAGCATCATCATCAGCATCAGCATCACCGTCATAATCACCATCATCATCATCATCATCATCAGCATCATCATCAGCAGCAGCAGCAACATCACCGTCATCATCACCATTATCATCAGCAGCATCATCATTATCAGCATCATCAGCATCGTCATCGTCATCGTCACCATCATCCTAATCAGCATCAGCATCACCACCCTCCTCAATACCAGCATCATCATCATCAGCAGCATCACCATCAACATAACCATCATCATCATCCTCAGCAGCAGCAACATCACCATCATCATCACCATCAGCACCATCATCAGCACCATCATCATCACCATCAGTATCATCATCAGCAGCATCATCATAGGCATCATCACCAGCATCATCATAAGCATCATCACAAGCATCATCATCATCACCAGCATCATCATCATCATCATCATCAGCAGCAGCAGCAGCAGCAGCATTGCCATCGTCACCGGCATCGACATCATGAGCACCATGCCCCCAAACGAGTGGACAGGAAAGAGAAAAACCAGATGCAGCAGCAGCGGCCGCAGAGGCGAG